TGGCACCACTATACTACTCCAGCCTGGGCAACAAAATGAAACCCTGTCTCTAAAAAAACAAAAAAATTCTGAATTATCTAGTATGGCATATGAATTGTATTTCAATAAAGCTGTCACCAGAAAGTGAATCCTAACCATTTGTTTCCTACCTCAGATAGTGGCTAGAAAGTAAAAAACTTATATAGCTAAAGATCTATTTTTACTATGATAGAGCCCTATCAAATGAAATGCTTACTAGCAAATGAAATCATTTAGTGTCCAAATTCCATTTTAACCAACAATTCCAAAATCTTTAAAATGCCGTTAACTGAATCTGCTGACAAATGACCAGAAAGTCAGACTTCCTGCTTCCAGTGATATTATTTTGACATAACATCTTTTTTTGAGATGGAGTCCTGCTATGCTGCTCAGGTTGGTCTCAAAGTCTTGGGCTCAAGCGATCCCACCACCTCAGCTTCCTGAGTAGCTAGGCTTACAGGCATAAGCCACTGTGCCCAGTTAGTCTATGTTATTTTGGATCATCTTCCTAATGACAACAAGTAAAAAAACGGTAAAAAAAAATATATATATATATATATTTTTTTTGAGACAGAATCTTACTTTGTTGCCCTTAGTAGAATGCCATGGCTCACTCTTAGGCTCAAGTGATTTTCTTACCTCAGCCTTCTGAGTAGCTAGGACTACAGGCACCCACCACAATGCCCCATATTTTTAGAGAAGGGGTCTTACTCTTGCTCAGGTTGGTCTTGAACCCATGAGCTCAGGCAATCCACCTGCCTCGGCCTCCCACATTGCTAGGATTATAGGCCTTAGCCATTTTGCCCAGCATATTCACACTAATATTGTGTCGTATGTAAAGTGGAAACAGTGAACACAAAAAAGCAAAACTACTAGAAAACTAGTAAAAGATACTTGAAAAGTCAGGCACTGGGGAGGAGGGAAAGAGATGGGGGGGGGTTAGGGCGTACAGAACATCTCTTAGGGCAGGAACACAATTACAAGAGGGACTTAACCTAATAACCATAATCAGTGTAACCTAATTCTTTATACCCTCAATGAATCCCAAACAATAAAAAAAAAAGTCTCACATTCCAGTTCTCTTTCTGGGCTGAGTTTACACCCTTGATTATCTGTCTTATCCAGCATTCAATGTTCCACTTATCATTACGTATCACATATAATGTCCTAACAGGCACAGCTACAGCTCAGACTTTACCTAAGAAACACAAACAACGTAGCCTAATCATCTTGTACTCTCATATTAATCTGAAATAAAAACAAATAAAATTCTACTTACTTTTTTCTTAGGAAGATAACGTTTGGTATTTTCATCCCAACTGGTGACAAATGAAGAAAAGATGGGGAGGGCAACCGATCTCTCAGTTTTCACAAACATGAGTTTCACACTCTTCCATTTCTGAATCCAAGAAAAAGAGTATCAGCTACATATACTTTTCTTTCAAATTAAATCAACAATCAATTGATATACCTGCAATACTATACCTCTGGCAATTTTTCTGAAAGCCCTTTTGCGACAGCAATAATGTTTTCAGTGATATGCTCAATCTGCATTGCAGTGTGACCGATGCGTATAGTGCTGAAATTTAATACAGTATTATATTAAAAGATTTTTTAAAATAAATGTTTTTTAAAAAGCACAGACAGGCTTGGCGTCTGTGGCTCAACCGGCTAAGGTGCCAGCCACATACACCTGAGCTGGCGGGTTCGAATCCAGCCCAGACCTGCCAAACAACAATGACGGATGCAACCAAAAAAAAAAATAGCTGGGCGTTGTGGTGGGCGCCTGTAGTCCCAGCTACTTGGGAGGCTGAGGCAGGAGCCTCGCTTGAGCCCAGGAGTTGGAGGTTGCTGTGA